TTTTTGGAACACTTTCTTCCCCTGTATCAATATAGTTGTTTATCATTTTATTCAAAACGATTATCTGTTTCCGTTATTGTTTTTTTGTAATTTTTTCTGGAAAAAATTTTCTCAGAGTGCCAGGACATTTTCTAACCGAGCGAGCTAACAGCGAGCGAAAAGGCTAACATAATTAAATGCGAAATTAATTTAAAAAAATTGAAGTAAAACAGAACCAAGACAAATTTAACGCTAAATTAATTTTCATTATTTTATTTGTTTATATTTTTCTGAATCAAACGCCAACCCAACTCTATCTAACTCTCTCTCTCTCACCGCCACCAAAACGACGCGACTTAAATCGAATGTCGATTGTCGCCTGCCGCCTATCGAATGTCAACTATCAAATGCAAGCAGTGCACTCGCTGCGCAGATGTACGCCGCCCAACTATCGACGCAGCAACAGAACATGTATGTGTGATGCCCTTGAGCGCTCTGAGTGTGTGTGCTGAGTGTGTGATGAGTGTGTGCTGAGCGTGTGTGTGTGTGTGTAAAGAGAAACCTAACTAAAGTGCCCGAGCAGCATCGAAGTGCCCAGGCGCTCATTATTATCTATTCATTTTGCCATATATTGCATTTCGTTTGATTACCTCTTAATTTGCAAAAAGAGTGCGCTTCGAAATTGGCCCAGGGCATTGCCAACGAGCAGGGTATTCGAGCAGCTGAAATGAGTTTCAGAATTGAATTGAACAAAGCTAAAGATCGGGAGGGAGAGCAGAGCCTCTCCCAAACCAAAAGAATGCTAATTGACAATGTCCTGGCACTTTAGTTACGTTTCTTTTACGTTATTTGTACTTGCGCAATGCGCACACCGATCGAGCACGCACGAGAGCCGCTCGCCCTGACATCCCTACTAATTCAACCACCACGCAGGTTCGAGAAGCTGGACATCACACCAAAGAGCGCGCAGAAGATCAAGCCTGTGCTGGAGCGCTGGATGAAGGAGGCCGAAGAGAGGTGAGAGTATGGAGGCAGTTCCACGCGCCGTTAACGCCCACGATGGACGAGGCCCAACTAAACAGCATTTCTCTCTTTTTTCGCCCTCAAGCAGTCACTGGAACCGCTACAAGTCCGGCCAGAACCACCTCACAGACTACATCGGCGTGGAGCCGTCGAAGAAGCGTAAGAGGCGCACCTCCTTCACGCCCCAGGCCCTGGAGCTGCTCAATGCGCACTTTGAGCGCAACACGCATCCATCGGGTGAGTGGTAACTTTCATTTGTAACTATTTGCCACTGTCGAGCGTTCACTAACGATATGTATATCCATCCATCAATAGGCACGGAGATCACCGGCCTGGCCCATCAGCTCGGCTACGAGCGTGAGGTTATCCGCATCTGGTTCTGCAACAAGCGACAGGCCCTCAAGAACACCGTGCGCATGATGTCCAAGGGCATGGTCTAGGCGGAGAGTGGGAGAAGGAGAGGCCCGTGTAAATAGGAGGCCCGTGTAAATAGGAGGCCCCTGTATATAGCTATATGTATATGTATATGCGTACGACTGTTTGTATGTGTTTAATTGTGTGAAAATGTGTGCGTGATAGTTGTAAACCTTACATACCCCTTAGACTTTAGCATAGGCCATGTAAAGTAATGATGTGTCATCGCATTTACCATACGATCCCACACGCCCCACCCCTCACCACACCCGAGAACCCAATCGAATTGAATATTTAAGCATACTATAATCTAATCTTAATCATATCCCAAATAGCCTAAAGGTAGTCGAAAGTCCCCGAACAGACTTGCGCAGTTTTTAGGCAAAATTTTATTGATGTGCCATTCCAGAAAACAGAACAAACAACAAACAACAAAACATACAAAAAAGACACGATCGTACGCATAAAAGATTCAATTAGATATTACATGTTTGAACAATTTCAACCAAAATTGAATGGATCTACATAAAGAACTCTTTAGATGAGTAAAAATACTTGCATTTAATGCGTTATCTACAGAAATATCGTATACGAAGTCCATTTTATTTCGATAACCATTCATAAGAAAATTATAGATCCTAGCAATTAGTCAACTCAGTCCCAAAAAGAAAAACACTATGAAAATTTAATGGCAGTTTACTAGAAGGAAACCCAGCAACAGTTTAGACTAAGAAAATTCGTCTAGCGATCTAAAATTATGAATGAAAAGAAACAAAAATAACGAGAAAAAACATATTTCAACTACGAAATTAAAATGGTACACAGAAAAAAAAAAACAACAACCACAACTGAACAAATATTTAAATGATTGTAATAAAAGAAAAATTATTATAAAAAGGTTTATAAATTTATTTGATTTACGAATCATTGTTCATGGATGGATTCTGAGAAAGCCTCGCGATCCACTCAAAGGCTTAAAACATCTGTACCCATAGACGAAAATCGTTCATTCGTTGTAGAAAAGACAGTGCTATTTGTGTGCTTATTATACCCGATACTATACTCAAAATGAGTATTGGGGTATATTAGATTTGTGGTAAAAGTGGATGTGTGTAACGTCCAGAAGGAATCGTTTCCGACCCCATAAAGTATATATATTCTTGATCAGCATCAATAGCCGAGTCGATTGAGCCATGTCTGTCTGTCCGTCTGTCCGTCTGTCCGTCCGTCCGTCCGTCCGTCTGTCCGTCCCCTTCAGCGCCTAATGCTCAAAGACTATAAGAGCTAGAGCAACGATGTTTTGGATCCAGACTTCTGTGATATGTCACTGCTACAAAAATATTTCAAAACTTTGCCCCGCCCACTTCCGCCCCCACAAAGGGCGAAAATCTGTTGCATCCACAATTTTAAAGATACGAGAAAACCAAAAACGCAGAATCGTAGAGAATGACGATATCTTGTAGACTGCGGAATCTGAATTGGATCGTATTATTATTATAGCCAGCATCAAGAAAACAATTTCATTTTTTCTCGCCCTGTCTCTCTCTAACACACACGTAGCATAGGCGGCTTTGCTTAGAGTAAAACATTAGCGCCTAGATCTCAGAGACTATAAAAGCTAGAGCAACCAAATTTGGTATCCACACTCCTGTGATATCGGACCTTGACCGTTTCCTGTCCAAATTTCGCCACACCCCCTTCCGCCCCCGCAAAGGACGAAAATCTGAGGCAACCACAAATCTCAGAGACTATTAAGGCTAGAGTAACCACTCCTTTAAGATGTCACTATAAAACGTATATCTCAGAATTTCGCCATGTATGTATGTGTTTATTTTTGGAATATTACGTGAACGTTACTAAACCAAGCCGAAACAAAGCTACTGTCAAAGTAAACCCCCCACTCGCTTTGTGCCGATACTCTTCTTCTTCTCTATGATTACCGTTGCAATCTCACACACGTACACACACTCATGCACACAGAGAAAGAGAGAAAACTCCAAAAACTTTTGATTTTGATTTTAACTTTGAATTTCAATTTCACTTTTTTTTCGTGTTACCTTTTTTTGCCTCGCTGTATTTTTTGCTGCTGATTATTTCATACAGTTTGACGGAGACCACGCGTTTTTTGGTTACCGATCGGATCGCTTGTCGAAAGCTTCCAGAACGTTACGGTCGGCCGGATTGGATCGGTAAACGGTGGAAGATTTGCGGGTTGCGGGTTGCGGGTGGCGGGTGGAAAGGGCAAGGGCGCGATACTCGATAATGCCTGCACTGGCACACACACTCACAGGGTCTCCAAATTACCATGCAGTACAAAAAAAGTCGTGTCCAAAATGTGGCGCATTCCTGTTGAATATTGAATATTGGATAGCGATAGTATCGACTGAATCGTAATGTAACGTAACGGACTTATCGATTGAGTATCGATTTACCGCCAAGTCTTTGGAATTTGATTTGCATTGATTTTTTTTAAACAAACAAACCAAAGAATAAATGAAAGAGCAAATTAGAAAGCAAGTTTAATATTTATTATATTATTATTATTATATTTGGCATCACATTAAGCATAAATATCTCCAGTAATTTTAGTATCCAACAGAACCAGGTGCTGTTATTTATCCTGCTCTGATCGTTCCGGCAAAAAGTCTGATGAAGAAGCAGCCTCTTCTCATAGGCAGGTCTCTATTCTGCCAGTTTCCGTAATTTTTGCAGCTTTCGGCTAACTGCTAGACATAAATTAACTTGAAAAAAGGGTTATTATCAATTGTTGTCGTCAATTTCACTTTTATTTCTGGCTTTTTTCCACCACAAATTCTTCCCCCTGAAAAGTCATGCAACATGTCGAACAGAAATTGTGTCTAAACATCCCTCTCGCCGGCAACGCTACAATGTTTCCCCCACGTTTCCACACGCGTTTCCAACTTCGTTTCCACACGTGACCTTAAAATGACCTGCGTGTGGAAACGAAGTTGGAAACGCGTGTGGAAACGTGGTTGAAGTAAAGTAAATGTAAATGTAAAGTAAATGTAAAGTAAATGTAAGGCGTTTTTGTTTTGTTTTTGTTTTTTTCATCTCCATTTAGATTGTTAAATTCTAATTTGCGCCATCCAACTTCCATTTTGCGTTGCGTCGCATTCTGCTTGCCAACAGCAGGAGAATCCTTCTGTTGTTAGTACCAAAAAAGCAGCTGGGTTTTTATAGCGTTCCAAGCTGATAAGCTGATAAGCGTAATATAATGAAATTTATATTTATAATTTATTTTAATGTTGTCTTTTTTTATTATGGCATTTATGATCAGAAGTCAGACCTTTGGTAGAATCAGTCAGGCCACACATGTGGACCCAAATGAACCCCAAAAAAAAGATAAGGCTAAATAGTTAAGTGAACAGATGCACGTCGCTTTCAATTTTGAGAATTTTCCGCAATATTAATATTTTCTTCAACGCTGGAGCTGGTGTAAAGAGTACTTTTCGTTAAAATATTATTTATTAAACTATGCTATCTTAAAATCTACTATTGGCAATATCACAAAAGGCAACAATTTCATGGCAAGGGAATGACTCCATCAATCAATCATCTACTGGTCAATCGCTCAGCATGATCTCGAGATTCTTTTGTTTTTGCCAGACGCGGTATTCGATGAGACCGTAGCTGGAAGGAGAAACGTCAATCATGAATAAACGGTTCAAAGAATCAAATTCAAATCGAAATTCAAATTGGAAACTCACCCCACACAACCCACCAGCATGACGCACATCAGAATCACCAATTTGGTGGAGGTGCAAAGCTGCGAGCTTATCACGTATCCAATAACCGAACCCGTGCTTTCCCACAGCCGAAAGTTGCTATAAGCCGCAATCAAATGGTTCGGGAACAAGATTCCATAAAAAGCTGCAAGCAGAAAAGCTTCAGTTTATTTAGTTAGTAGCTAACAAAGCTCTCACTTACCGTTTACCACAACCAACCAGATGCCATCGCAGATGCCCCAAACGGCGGCAAAGGCGCAATACCGAATGTAGTCGCCCTCTCGCGCCTCCCACGTGTACATGTACGCCAGGAGGCAGAGATTCAGGACAGCACAGAGTCCGGCCAAGGTGATGCGTCCAATGCGCTCCACCAGAGCACCTGCAATGCCAGCTGCTATGGCATTGGCGATGCCAAAGCAAATCATGGCGAAACCGATCTTCGAAATGCCCCAGCCGCAGGCCACAAACGAGCGGGTGAAATCCACGGCCAGGAAAGCCTCCTCCAGTCCAATGAACATGGTAATGGGCAGCATCAGGATCTGGCGGCGCTTGCGCAGCAGGTTAATGGTCACCGTCAGCAACTTTAGGCCAGAAATTCCGTCTCCTGTGTCGCCACGCTTGACGCCGTAGCTGTGGAAGAGTACATATAATGTGATATCAACAATAATATTTGTAGCCATCCTTCTACTTACCGCTTTAGGGAACTAACGCCAAAGATCATCATGACGACGGCAGCAGCCATGCAGGCCAGGAAAATCGAGTTCAGAAGCTGAATCTGCTCCGGAGCCGGAGGCACCAGATTGGGATTGGCCTCGGCCCCCACACCCGGACAAAAGCGTGCGCCACACAACTCGCCCACTTTGCTGAGGCTTGGGCTGCTATCCTCTTCCATTTCCAGGCTGCCATTGCTCGCGGTCTTGGCCGGACCACTAAGGGTGAGCACCGAGGAGGAGATAAGGTTACCCCAGACCTGTGCCATCTGGTAGAAGATGAAGAACAGACCGAAGAACTTGACCGTGTTGACATCCTTCCGTGACTTGTTGCCGCGCACTTGAGTCAGCGCCTCCGATACGGTGGATAGGTACGTGCACTTGGAGCACCACAGAGGTCCGCCACCGAAGCCCACCATTAGAGCTGCGGGAATCAGTGTCTCGAACCGGGGATAGAACTGGGCGGCGATGTAGGGCATGTAGGCGAACAGAGCGAGGGCCATGGTCAAGCGGCAGCCGAACCAACTGTTGATTATAGTGGAATGTGGAGAGTGTTTTGGCAAGTGGCAAGTGGGACATGGCACATGGCACATGCTTAGCAGGCGGTCATTTATTTTGGGGCCCCAATGACGTGCCAAGGACACCGTGCCTGGGGGCCATAAATCTAAATAAATCGAGTTAACTGATTAAAGTTGGCCAAGCCAGCACAACAGAGACCCGTTCTAGCCATCGCGCGTGCCCCGAATAAGTCAAGCGAGGCGGGGCGGCGGCAGCTAGGGTTGCTATAAATTAGCGATTTGTTTAAATGTCAGACCAAACAAAATGGCATAGCGGGCGTGGACGCGGGCGGCGGGCTGCCATGATGTGGGGACAGACCTTTCCATTGGCTATGGGAGGGGTTCCGCATCGACTCTAATCCTGGGACTTCCTGTTGACATTTTAACAGTCAAATGCGCTCGCAGCCCATTATTCTGAATGCGCTTTTGGCCATGTCACATCTACATAAATCCCACATAAAAAATGCCACCAGACAATTACCGAAACTTTTATGGAATGCCCCACATGGAAGAATGTGGCCTCCTTCAGGAGAGACAGCAGAGCGGCAGACCAACATAAATTGGCAATTATTTTTGAGTGGCAAGACTTGGGTATGCCAATGAAAATGAAGCGACCTGTGTCTCTGTCTGGTTTCAATTTGACTTGAACAGGAAAGAAATCAAAGAAAGGATAGCTTTCGGATTTCTGATCAATCTAAAGGTTCTGCACATTTATATCCCAGTTCTAAACTTATAGGCACTAAACAGACACTTACCTAATCACAGTCATGGGCAGAAACACATTCGACAAAATCAGGGAGCCGTAGATGACGGCCAGTGTGGTGGTGCCCAGGGCCTTGTCCGCATTCACCGAGCTCTGGAGGTTCGATGTGCCATGGAAGGCCGTGAAATGTATCATAAACGCGAGGCCAATCACAACGACATTTCGGGTGATAATGAAACGTTCTCGTGGCTCGTACCGCCACTGATTGACTTTGTTGTCGCCAGTGGCCAGTGTCGACCCAGTGGCAGGCGCTCCCGTTGGAGCTGTGATGCCATTGCCATGTGCAGCACTTGTGTCCAAAGCGAGTTCCTCGTTGTTGCTGTCCGATGTGCTGTTCGGGGGTGCCATGCCGATAGAAGAGAGCTCTGTAAATACGGAATACATTTTGCTTGCTTTTATTTGCTTTACCTATAATGTAATCTCTGTGAATGCACAGGCCAAACGGCAGCTGCAGCTGCAGCTGTAGCCGGTGTGATTTAATTAAAATGGAGTTTCCTCCGTTTGAAAAAAAAAACTCTGTTGTAGTTAAAGTAGGTGTCGTGTGGCTGAGATAGGGAAAACACAGTTGTTGGACAGTCAAAATAGATTTTTTTAATCTAAAATTTGCAGCATTAAAAGGTTCCGTTTCGTGCTGTTTATTGGCCATGAACATCACAAGAGCAGCTTTAAGTTATTCATGTGGCTTCCTACCTTCCTACATTCCCGGCCCTAAGCCCAAGCCACAGACACTATCCATGGGGTTTCGGTTTATATTTCGCTTTCGCTTTTGAGAATAAGCTCGCCTCCAATGCCACGCCCACACACATACATACACGCACACATATCCCGAAAGATATAGGCTTTGGTCCTGCTTCAGTCTCAAGCACATTGTCGCCAACTTATAATCCTTTAGGCAGCCTCACAGCACGAACTCCGTCTGGCAGCCTACAATTTATGCCTGTCTACACCATGCTCAGTGGCTCAGAGTGGTGAGAGAGGGAGAGTTGAGGGGGAGTTGTAGGGGTGTGTATCGTGGGCTCTGGCCTAAAAACGTTTGCTCAACTCTGTTTGCATTTGATTTTGGGCCGTGCCAACGACACTTTATGAAATTTTACACCTTTGATAAAATGTTAAAGGCCTGTTTACCATCTTCTGAGTGGCTTCACAGCTCCTCCCCCTTTCCACTCCCCCATTTCCCTTATAAAGCCTTTTTCCTCTGTTGTCTTGATTTAATGTAAATCGCTGGCTATATACAACCTGATTGAATTGAAATGTTGGCCCTGCCAGTTCCCGCCGTTCTCCGGGAGGGTTAAAGTTGAAAATTGATTCTGAATACCTGGAGGCGTTACATTAAGCGCTGTGCAATTAATTGCCCAAAAAGTAGAATTCCTCATTAACAGGGATTCGTCAGCGATTCGCCGTCAAAGCCTCTAGCCAACCTGCCGTGTGGATGCTTATGGGCAATTAATTGCATTAAAATCAATGCTGTAAATCAATTTTATTGACTATTACCTGGTACCAACATTCATCATACGCAGTGGTGTATGCCTGTATATTGTATATTGTGGGATTTCAACTAATTAGATGGCGTCAAATGCAGCCACATTCATCAATGGGAACGCTTCAAATATGCCGAGAGACCCGCATGAGAAATATCATCAAGTTTAACTCGAATACGTACGTTGGGCAGTCTTCGACTTTGAAGCATCTTTGACCACAAAAGGATATCCTGTAATGGATAGTTGACAGCCCATATAAAGCGACAAGTATAAGGGATGGATGGGCGGGGGGGGAGTAGCACAGGAGGTGTTTGTCCCGATAGAAAATTCAGTGTAATGTTGGGTCAGCAGTTGGGAGCATCATCGTTCATCATCTAAATGAAAATCTGGCATAATCATCAGAATGGGCGAAACCCAAATGGCCAACCATTTGTTTTTTATGTACAAAAAACCACCCACCAGCCACCACCCACACTCACATACCCTTTTCCCCATCCATGCCGTGGCCTGTCTCTGCCTCGGCCACTTCCCGGGCATTAAACAAAGCAGAGCCCGAGGCCCGACACAACGTTGGCTCGTTAAAGAAAATTTTGGCTTTATATAAAATACGAGAGAGTCTACTGGCGAGGAACTGATAACAATGCTTCAACTGGGGCTGGACTTCTGTTTTTATGTGCTATGTGCCTCACACTGGTTGACCAGTAATTTAGTTAAATTATTGTCCGTCCTTTTGTCAGTCCGTTAGTCCGTCAGTCTGTCTGTCAGGAAATGTGAAACTTTACCAATCTGTGAGGTTTGGTGTTTGCTTTGTGGGAATGTTTTGAGGAACATATACGAATGTGTATTGTAATAAATCTCTCACTCAAAACTTCAATTTGTATTCCTTCAACTTTGTTTTACATTTGTTTGGATTTGATAAATGGACTTCGGCATATGTTGAGATGCTTGTTTACACATTTGGCTGTAGGCCAGAAAAAGGAGCAACAGCCACAATCCTAAACCAACCATCGCCCCCACGCGCACAGACACACACTCTAATCAATCACTGCCAAATAAAAAGTGAGGCACGCAAAAACATTATGGGCATTATGGCGCTGACAGAAGGCAAATACTTTCAACATTCGCACTTGATGCTGGATGCTGGATTCTGGATGCCCTATTGGCCGGAACAACTTGGCTCTTGGCGGCACATGTGGCGAACGGCAGGCATTAATGTCCTACAATTAACTTTAGATCAATTATATCGGCGACCAAGGCTGGACCTCAGCATCTGGCCGTTAATTAGCCAACAAACCAGGCAAAACACACAAATGAGTGGGGAGCCAATCGAGGTCAAAGAGCACCACCGCAGGAACACTGAGAGAAACAAGACCACATTGGGTATCCAGTTTCTGTATGCAGATTTAGAGGAATCTTTATCTGTAAAAATATCTTAAAAGATGCTTATCCTCATAATTTCCCCTTTTCCATGGATTCTCTATTCATTTGAAACATTTTTTTGAAGTGCAACAAGCTTGGAAACCGAAACGCTTTGCACGGAGTGTTGTTTGTGTATGTATTTAACGGTATTTGCATGCAGACGATGGCAAATATTTGTCGGAGTTACTGGGCGGCCAGTAGCTGTAGATGTTGCACCCAATTGAATCCACATTAACTTAACGATTCCGTGCCGCAAGCCGAGATTTTGCTAAAGGAACCAGCTCAGCCGAATGACAATGTAAGCGTTCCGCAAAGGAAATGACTGTGGGAGGACAGGAACATCCTGCAACAGAGACAAAGGAACTGGGGGGCATGTGGGTATCTGGCGGCGTTTCAGTCTTTGATTCGATGTTGAACTGTGTGGATTTCGATTACTCTGTGATTGCAAATGTATCAAAGCCCCGAAACACAGCGCCCCGAAAGCGCATGAATGTCTGCCATCGTCCTTTGTGTGAAAAGAACTGTGTTTCATGTCACATCACTTGCCCCCTGCAGTTGGCAACAAAGAACACAACAAATAAAAGCATAGGGGAAAGTTAAAAAAAAAAAAACAAAAAAATGGAATAGAAGAACACGACACAAAGCATATTTCCCTTTTACCGAAAACGAAATACATTTTTAAGGCCTAGACAGCGGACGGTATACTCGTACACTCGTAAATCATAGGCGCCTCTGCAGCGCCTAGAGCCAGGAAATATTTTTATTGGACACTCAGGGGTGGCGAATAAGCTTACTTTATGGAGCCCAGCACGCGAGCTCTAACTCGAACTATATTTAAGGATTTAAGTGCGACAGAAGCTGCACAAGAAGAGGTTTCTCATTTCCTAATCCAAGGAAGTATTATGGAATATGTTGGGTTCTCATGCCTTACAAAGCAGGGAAACTCAACAAAATCCATGGTCATATATGAAGGTATGAATAGTATGTGTAACCGATTTGCATACCGACGCAGAAAATTATGTATCCGCACTATCTGGAAAATTACGCATGCTTTTTCCCATAAAGCAATCACTTCCTAATCCTTCCTTGACCCCTCTCTGTCTTTGTTCTCTGCGGTGGGTTCCCCAATTGCTTCCCATTGTTCACATGATTCAGTTGATCTCTTCATTGTTCCCCTGCACTGTGCAGAATGGACCGAGCCGATTGTGGGAGCACTTTGCATGAAAGCCTGCAGTACCTGTCGGTGCCCCCCTTCATGGTCCGCACACCGGATACCGACTTTGCCGGAATTAGGTAATGTCTTATTAAGCTCATGTCTAATGGCCCATGGGCTTTGCGTCTGAGTTCGAACAAAATGCAGAGCAAGCTGTGGTCCCAGAGTTTTATTTAAATTTGATTAACACAGAAATCAATTCGAAGAAGGCCTCGTCACGCAGCCAATCATAAATTTATAATGTCATCAGAAGCAATACGAGTTTTATTTTGGATGTCAAAATGTTTGCCCCTCCCTGACACCACTTCCGGTTGCCCCAGTTATTTTGACGCGACATTGGGTTTTATGTGGACGGGTGCGTCAAAAGTTTGGCCTAAAATTGGGCCATATAAAAAAAAGCGCAGAAGCGTAATGCAAACGTAAACGTTTTCATTACTCCCGCGGAAGCTCGAGGCCAATAAAAATGACAATAATATGAATGGAGGGGGATGAATGTGAGTCCCGCCGAATACGGCGGGGCGATGTTTATTCCCCCATAAGTACGAGGGTGGGCTGATAAATAGTCCAGCTACCAAAGAAAACACGATTTTTTCTAATTTTTAGATAGCTGATATTAGTTAGTTGGTTAGACATGTGTTCCTCTGTCAAGGCTAATTACTTATCAGCCGGCCCTCGTATATCAAAGCCTGTTCAATCAAATCATTTCAACTGGCACTTTAATGTCTGAACATAACATTTTCCCGCTGTTATTTGTCCAGTCAACAGTCAGCTGCTCTTCTCTGTTACTGTTAACAGGTGGCTGTTGAAATTTCCCTCTCTGCTAAAACGAACAGCTTAAGAGAGTTTTTATTTAACAGAGTCTGTTATCTAAACACATTTCTGCTGGGGATACGCAAATCAATCGGCGATATAAATATGAAGGAAATAATTGGAAAAAATAATGCAGAAATATCATTTGAAATATTTTGATAGAATGGAAAAGCACATGAATGTTATAGAGTTTAACCTTTGGTTAGATCTCTCAAATTTTCCCCAAATTTTCGGAAATAAAGCTGTTCTCTATAAACTTGATTCCCACACACCCACATCCTTCGGCTTACGTGCAACATTGTGGCTACGTTTATGCACATGGGCGAAACTTACCCTGGTACTGCAAAGCTGTCGATGCCCCCAACTAATTTGCACGTTTTACTGCCAGACTCCATCAGACGGAGCAACAATGCTGCACTATATTTGAGGAAACTCAAAGGGTGGAGCAGCTGGTTAGAGTGCTAGCAGTGCAAAAGCTAAGGTAAGCCTTAATCCAAGTTAGCTATGAACTGTGGACTCCAATGCAAAGCTGAAATTCACGGAAACGGAAATGAAAGTGGCAAACACACACAGATGCTCCGACTTCCAAATGGCCAATAAGGTTCCTGCTGCAGAATCTGAATCGACATCTCCTGGGAGGGAGAAAACCAGAAAAAATCGTTGCATGAGAGCGCCTTGAAATAGCATCCTCCACCTCGAACCCGAGCGAATCTTTAAATATTTATTCACTTTTCACTGCCATTCTCTCAGTCCGCTCCCGAAAACAGACAGGGGAAGAAGCCACTCTTGCAGTTGTGTATTTGCCGAGTACTTCCGCTTTGCCGCCCTTTATGCTGCTTATTTTCAACACGGCGACCTCCTACTCGTCGGTCTCGTTGACGTTGAACGTTAGACTACTGAATGTGGGAGCGTGGGTGTATGGCTGCCAGTGAGTGTTTGTGGGTGAGTGCGGAAAATTCAATGGAATTTCGGTTTGGTTTTCATTTGCTTACTGCATTTTATGTACTTTTTGTCGTCTCCATTTACTCCACAACTCGGCAGCTATAAGCACAGAAACATTGGAGGACAGAAGGACAAATGCTTCACTTCCTCGATTGAATGCAAACACTGTGCACGGTTGACACTTTCCCGGGAAATGAGTGAGATTACAGATTTCTTGGATTGGCGCCAGTTAGCATGGTTAACCTTTCCTTTCATCCTGCTGAATGTATTCCATCCTTTAGATATTGTAAATCACTGCCACTTTTCAGTGCCTATGCTTTGCCCTTTTTAGAGAGTCATGCCCTTTGGTAGAGTCATGCCCCACACCTTTAACTTAATCGAGTGAAGGGATTGAGAATGCAAATTCCATTCAGACTCCGAATAGCCATACCCACGGCTCAGGGCTTTGTTGAACATTAATTGTGAAATATGCAATAAAGTGTGGAAACTGTTCGTTATGGCTGATGCAATTTCCCCAACGATTTCCAACCCACTCTCTTCTCTCTATCTCACTATCTCTCTCGCTCTTTCTCTGTCTCTCTCCGTCTCTCTGTTGCCGCAAGTTAAATACAAAATTATGTCTCCATCGTGCTTGCAAATGTAATTTATGCCAAATGAGCAGCAGCCACAAACACGGAGGGTCTCTCGCCTCGCTATCATCATAACTTATTTAATATACAAAAAAAAAGCAACGAAAACATTTGCCACATGCTGCACGCGAAAAATGTTGATGAGACAAGCGACAGGGTCGGCTTACGCTGACAATCAACTGCAGCAATGAATGGTATGGGCACTCGGCAGTCACCCACTCGCCCACTCGCCCACTCACCGCTCACCCACTCACGTGTGCGTGGTTTGATGGCCCTACAATTTCGCGTTTCCGCTTCGCTTTTTAATAAGTTTTTCCGACCTCGTGTCCGGAGCAGGCACAAAAGCCATGGCGGGGAAATTGGAATATGTGTGCTGCGCGGTTCGGGTTCGGGTTCGGTGGGTGGGATGCGTTGTGGCGATGACCTCTTTATTCGGCATGGTACAAAGAGGACTAGGGTTGACTGTATTTATTGGATTTGTAGTGTTCCATTCCGTACGGTAGTTGCCACGGATGGGTAGGCCTACAAGCTCTCTTTATACATATAAAGAACCGCTCCATTAACTGATCGGAGTGGCTTTCAATCAATAGTTCGCTTGATTAAAGTGAAAAGTGAAATTGGAGTGATCAAGTGCAATTTAGCACACTTTGGCCCCTTGAAAATCGAAAGAGTTTTCTCTCTCGGTCACTTTTCGCTCTGTAAAATAAAAACTTTACTTTTTCCTTGTGGCAACAAAGTTGCTGCGAAGTCAAATAAACTTTACGCTGGCGGAAGGTCGAGGCATCGACGAAGGCGTTCCCAAGTACATTTTAATTAGCATAAAATCCCTTTCCATTTCCCATTTCACTCCATGCTTCTTCTGTCCGGGCGCAACTTTTCAGTGGCTTCAGCGGAGAAGCGGAACCAAGACTCGGATAGTAAATGATGGCATTGGGATTGGGCCAGGATATGATACTCGAACAAGGAATGTGATTACGTATTCGTATGCAGGCCCATATGCACTTCATTATTGAGCAGCCACCACCAGACTGACAGCCACAAGGAAAGAGAATAATTCAATTAAGTTCGGAGCTCCATCTTTTTTCCACCCATTCGTTCACATTGTTGTCATCGAGGTATGTGAGATTGAAGTCTGCACCTGAACCACAAGGACACGTTCCCATTGTTTCGCCCGCATCTTTGGTATGTTATATCTTTTCGTTTTTGGTAAATGTGGATGGGGGCCACAGACCCCTCTCGGAAGCTAAAAAAAGGTCCCAAAAACCATGTAAGTCAGAAATGATGAAAGGACTGTCCGAACAACGAAAGGTCAATTGTTTTTTCATCTGTGAGTATCTGTCTAGTCGACTATTGAACGCTAGAAGTTTCTGTTCATTTAACAATATTTACGATTGCTGATGTTTGTTTTCTGCTGTTGATATACGAGAATGACGATTTTTTAAATTTGTTTAATAGTTCACTTTATGGTTTTTAATTAAGGCCTATGGTTAAGTTTTTATTATCTTTACTGAAGTGTCAGCTGCAGATTTGTATGTAAATTAAACATTGAAATGTGAGTAACACAAGTAATGAAATTGTGAAAATATCTGCGACACATTCTGATGATATTCCATGGAAATAGTCCGAAGTTAATTAAATTATTACAGCCAACGTGATTCTACTAAAATTACCTGTGGATGGGAATTGGTTTTACAATTAAAATTCCACTCCTTATAGGGTGGCCCACACGCGCCACTATCGATGCCCCAAAAAGGTGACCGTCTGACGAGAGTTGCGTCCCGGATCTGTTCTGCGAAGGGCGAGACGAGACGAGGTTGGACGTTACGATTCCCAAACCAAATCGAAGCGAACTGAACCGTTTTCGAGCGCAATTAAAACTAAACTAATATCTCGATCGTCGACTTCTAAATATGAAGTGGAATGGAAATGAACTGAATGCGACAGCAGCACCAGCACCAGCACCAGCAGCGACCGTAGAGGCAACAGGTTTCAGCTCTCCGCTCTTCGATTATTGCCGATTCATTTGCATAATTCAAACGTGTATTCCGATGCAAATATTGATTTGTCTGACATTTCATTCCATTCCCTTGAGAGAACTTACAAGAAACGTGACTCCAGCGGAGACGGCGACGGCGACGGAGACGAAGACGAAGGCGTGTCAAGGCTCTAATTTACCACAAATCTGCGGTTGACCGTCAGATGCGCCAGTTGATGGCAACTTTAGCAATCATCCACGATGCTGCGCTCCTCCCACCTTTACCCACTGATTCATCTAGAGCCCAGAGTGCTGCTAACCACATTACCTGACGCACAAACACTTGCCAACACGTTCCGAACCCGTCGAGGAAGTGTAATGAACGCTGTCAGCTGATTTAGATTGCTCGATAGTGGGAGGTCGGTCGCATTTAAGCAGGAACATTCATTACCAGACAGCGACTCGACTTGTTGAGTGCAATTGTGACAAACGTTGAACAAGTGCGGCTGACAGGCGAAATGAACAACGTTCCGCTCCAAAGTTGACTCGAAGTCATTGGGGGATGCAATGAACCTTTCTCTTGATAGATAGATGGGCAATTACGTTGAATTTGTTCATTAGATAAGGTTAGATAACAAAACGCAATGTCGTAAGAGGGACCCGAGATATGACAATGTCAGACATGGAAAGCAATTGGGACTGATAAATGACAATTCTCGCACCTTTGTACTTTTGTTATTATTCACGACTCTAGTGCAGCTCTCTAAGCGGTGCTAATTACACACAACAATTAGTTGATTCCCAAAATGGCATCGAAATCACATCGCGCATCAGCCAGGCGGATCGGGGGAAGTTCAGCAGGTAATTCCCTCAATGCGTCAGTTGTGGAAACAGGTCTTGAGTGTGCTTTTGTTGGTTCTGTTCTTGGCATTGGCCTTACATACCACTAGTCGGGGGCACTCAAATTGGCTATTACCAAAAGCTCCGCTCCTCTCCATCCCGCCTGTCCAGCATTTTGCATAATCCGCTTATGAGTTACGCTCCGGAGAGCAGGAGAGCGAAGCCGAAATCCAAACATCAATGTGGACTGTGGCGCCTGTGGCGATTTCGTGAAGTACCAAGTACTTGGAATTCAGCTGCTGACGCCTTTCACTCGATTTCAGCTGCTGGCTCTCTGGATCTTTGGCCATAAATCTGGCCCATGGTCATGCAGGTTTGCTCTTATTTCGCTTGACAATTTTGCCACTCGAATATGTGTCTCACGTCATTAGCTGTCCGCGCGTGAGAGGCCAAAGCCCGGACACCTAATACGAGATTGAGATTCGCTTGGCATTCGGCATTGATGATGTGCTAGACTGCTTCAACAAGAAATGCAACATTTAGGGCTGAACTTTTCCCATTAAAGGCATTTTGCAGTACACATAAAGCAAGGACATTGAATTCCTGCAATGCAATCAGTGCCTCCTCTACAGACATACATACATGCTTTACAATCTGTGGTGGCATCGATAGAAACAAAGAACTTAATGCTAACTTAACTCAACATATTGACATTTCAATAAAGATTATTATCTTATTAATACACATCAGGGCATTGTTGGACTGTTGTGGATAATAAGGCAAGGAGCGAGGAAACTAATTAGCTTATTATTTATTTGTTTGTCTTTTTTTCAGGTAATTTGCTGGACACAAACGGATTGCTAAAGGAGATAATTTTAATTAGATTTGAATTGTAATTTAGTTTATTAGAAAACTAGTGTATTGCATTTTATATACCCTTCTCAGCACTCTTTTTGTAGTCCGCATTGACGGTGGCGGATATCTGGCGGACCGGTCTATATATACAAGTACGGAAGTTTCTCTTGGTAAACAATTTCCTTTCGATTTTTGTTTTTTAAGAGCAACTATCAAGGGTAACCGTAACAGTTCAATGTTAAACAAGGCCTTAACATAGCTTCCACTCTAGCAGAGCTTTACTTTAGCCAATACACGAACCAGCCTATTGTTCAAACTCAATAACATAATATTTAGCAAATGGCATGCTATTTAACAGATAAACATGTAAAATACATGTAAGTACATAAATTCATCGAAAAGAATCCCAAGATCATGCGGAGCTGATTGATCGGTAGTCATTCCCTTACAATGAAAATGTTTCCTTTCTTATAGAGAATTGTTTTTAAATTGTATGAATAAATTGTTAAAAACAAAGCTAAAAAAGCTCTTCACACCAAAATGAAAATTTAATTGAGAATCCGCCTGGTTGATTTTGATAAATATACGACAAATATCTCAGGCTATCGGCAGAAATGTGGTCTGAAATGTTGAGATAAATGAAATCTGATCGTTTATTATTAAACATAATCACGGAATACGGCTTTTTTGTATTACATGTTTTTATTAGTCCAACAGTTCTATCGATCGTACAATGCACAAAATTTCAAACACAATCAACACCCTCTTCAATTTATGATAATTATGATAATAATAATCAGTGCTTTAATTTAATGAAATAAAATTGATTTATTTTTAACATTTATTTCTGCGTTGCAACCAGATACATTTACTGGCTTTAATGAATACCAATTAATCTCAATTACCTTTGTTATTTTTCATATTCGTTGCCAAATACAACAGAAAATATTTTCAAGTAATTAAAAACAAAATTTAATGAAATCACAACAAAATAGCCAACGTTTTTATTGAATGCAATATAGTGACAATAATCGTATCATGTTTATATAGTAATGACAAACGAGTAGAAATATATTTTTATAACGGATACTCAAAATGAGTATTGGGGTATATTAGATTTGTGGTAAAAGTGGATGTGTGTAACGTCCAGAAGGAATCGTTTCCGACCCCATAAAGTATATATATTCATGATCAGCATCAATAGCCGAGTCGATTGAGTCATGTCTCTCTGTCCGTCTGTCCGTCCGTCCGTCTGTCCATCCCCTTCAGCGCCTAGTGCTCAAAGACTATAAGAGCTAGAGCAACGATGTTTTGGATCCAGACTTCTGTGATATGTCACTGCTACAAAAATATAGTTTAAAACTTCGCCCCGCCCACTTCCGCCCCCCCAAAGGACGAAAATCTGTGGCATCCACATTTTTAAAGATACGATAAAACCAAAAACGCAGAATCGTAGAGAATGGCCATATCTTTTAGACTGCAGAATCTGAATTGGATCGTATTATTATTATAGCCAGCATTAAGAAAACAATTTCATTTTTTCTCGCCCTGTCTCTCTCTAACACACACGTAGCATAGGCGGCTTTGCTTAGAGTAAAACATTAGCGCCTAGATCTCAGAGAGTATAAAAGCTAGAGCAACCAAATTTGGTATCCACACTCCTAAGATATCGGACCGAGACGAGTTTGTTTCAAAATTTTGCCACACCCCCAGAGTAACCAAATTTAGTATCCGCACTCCTGTTAGATCTCACTATAAAACGTATATCTCAAAATTTCGCGCCACCCCCTTCCGCCCCCACAAAGGACGAAGAACTGTTGCATCCACAATATTGAGGATACGAGAAAACTAAAAACGCAGAATCATAGATAATGACAATATCTATCAGATTGCTGAATCTGGATCAGATCAGATCATTTTTATAGTCAAAAGGAACAAATCAATTTGCACTGGCTACGCAGGCCCGACGTCACGCTCAGACTGATTTTCTGTCTCTCTCGCACGCACTCTTTGTCGTGTCGTTTAATATTAGCGGCGTCTGCTGGAGGAGAGCCTACTGACTAAGTATCGGGTATAAATGTAGAGTTGCGGTGTCCGCAGCAACTCACATCGTTCCCCCTCGTTGTATCTGTATTCTTGTAAACTGAGCCACAAAATATTTTAATTCCACACAAAGACCGTCAGAAAATATAAATACAAGCTGCTGATGCTGTTGGTAAATGAATCACTTAGGTAATAATGTATTCGCATGTTATTTAAATTCAAAGCCAAAACAACAAATATCAGAGCGGCTAACAAACACGAACTAAACGTGCGAAATATCAGAAAATCGAGTGCGGGAAAAATTTCATTGGCAGCTAGAAATATTACGGGAATTATGGGTAAAATAAATATTTTCACAATCAGTTTAATTGGAATCGCATTATGTGGGCTTTTCAGAATAATTCAAGCAACAAAGCAAGCAAGTACTGGCAAAATATTCACTAAGAGATGGAAAGCCATTGAATAAATTTCAGGTTTGGATAACAATTAGCATAGTTCAAGTATATCAATTACTTCACTTAGCCATCTACCGCTTCTTCAATTTCCATCGGCCATAAGGTCCATTAACCTGGGCATTCATACATCTATTAAAATATCCATCCCCCAATTTGTCCATTCATGTAACTGTATATAACTGTATACTCAACAGCATACTAATTTATACAATACTAATTTCTGTGAGCAGAAGAGAGATAGCATCCCTGGTTGAGCTTCTGTCTCTCCTGGACTACGCAATGTGCCACATGCAACATGCAACATGCAGCATGCAAGCTGCCACTTCCCACGCATAACTTATTAGCCCACAACTTACAGCCTTTCCTTCTGAGAGGCAAATACTCGTATATGGTGTAATTATTCCCGACAGGAAGCTAACTACAATGGAATTATAACCAATTAATTAATTTGGTTGATTTAATACCGTACCACAGGCGACTCGATTATTGGACACACCTGCATCCCGTATCCATATTAAAATTGAATTCGCATGCAGCTATGGAGAAATATTTAATTTAAACTACAGTATCGGCTGCGTTGCGTTGCGTTACAGCATTTTGCTTTTAGTCCTGTGTCTGATGCATTTTTAGCCCTACACGCTAAATGCAATTAAGTGGTCCCAAAACTAATTACAAATTCCA